TTTGAACAGAACAAGGGGATACTGTGTGGTTTAAAGTCAGGAAAGGTGTGTGTCAGGGTTGCATCCTTTCATCATACCTATTCAATCTGTATGCTGAGCAAATAATCCGCTGGACTACGCGAAGAAGAATGGGGCATCGGGATTGGAGGAAGACTTATTAACAACCTGCGTTATGCAGATGACACAACCTTGCTTGCTGAAAGTGAAGAGGACTTGAAGCACTTACTGATGAAGATCAAAGACCACAGTCTTCAGTATGGATTACACCTCAACATAAAGAAAACAAAAATCCTCACAACTGGACCAGTAAGCAATATCATGACACATAGCACTGTCTTTTGGCTAGAGAGGAAGATTCAGTGCAGATGAAATATAAAATCTAGCCACACTCTTCGCATGGACTGGGAGACTCCTGGATGCCCAGCAGTTTTTCAGTTTGGGACGAATGAGGCTTGCAAAATGGAAACTTGTGCTTTTGTATCTATCCCGGGGCCTGACTTTGAGGAATGAGACAGTTTAATGGGTGTCATGGATTGAACTGTGTCCCCCAAAAATATCTGTCAACTTGTCTGGGTCATGATTCCTAGCACTGTATGATTGTGTACCATTTTGTAATTGGATGTGATTTCCTTATGCGTTGTAAATGCTATCACTATGATGTAATGAGATGGCTTAGCGGCAGTTACACTGATGAGGTCTATAAGATTAGATAGTGTCTTAAGCCAATCTCTTTTGAGATATAAAAGAGAGAAGCAAGCAGAGACACACGGGAACCTCATACCACCAAGAAAGCAGTGCCGGGAGCAGAGCTCATCCCTCAGACCTGATGTTCCTGTGCTGAGATGCTTCTAGACCAAGGGAAGACTGATGCATCACAAGACCTTTTTCCAGAGCCAACAGAAGACTTCTTCTGGAGCTAATGCCGTAAATTTGGACTTGTAGCCTACTGGGCTGCAAGAGAATAAACTCCTCTTTGTTAAAGCCGTCCACCTGTGGTACTTCTGTTATAGCAGCACTAGATGACTGGGACAATGGGTTTGCACAGCCTATTTCTGTATGGTCCCCATTACCGTCGCTACTGTGTTTCCCCAACGACCTGCAGCGGCCCTATTTAGATCTCCCCAGAAGGTAATTTGTGTTGGTCTCAAGGCCTTGGACCCAGCTGCTTTTCCAGTGGCAAAGAGTCCAAGCCAGAGACCCTCCTCTCTTTGGAAGGGTGGGTGGCCCTCTCTCATCTTCCTAGCACCTCTTACCTGAGTGGTGTGGCTGCCCCTCTCTCCCTTGGTCCTGCTCACTTCTGCCCTCTCTTCTCTGGGTATGAATACAGAGTCTCCTGTGTGCTTCCCCAGAAGCTGCTAAGTGCTGAAGCCTGCAGGCTGGGCTGGCCAAGGCCGGGGTCCTTTGCTCTTTTCTAGGCACTGTCAGTGTTACAGAAGGAAGACCACTGCAAACAGGACTTAACCGAGAGGAAGCCGAGTTCCCTGGACTGAAGAGAAGAGGGGCAGAGACATGCGTGTGTCCCCTTCATTTTCAGATTTTAAAAACATTTTATGAGGAAAGTTAATGGGAGAAGCAAAATGTTTAATGAATAATAAAGTTGGGCCATATGTTTTTTCCAAAGAGAGAGAGAAGAGAGAAAGAAACACACGCACATACACACACACACACAAACACACACACACACATACACACACACAAACATACACAAACACACACACACAAACATACACACACACATACACACACACACAAACATACACACACACACAGACACACAGGCGGAGGGAGGGAGGGAGAGAGGGGTGGGTGAGAGACAGAGTAAAAGAAAGAAACAGAGAGAGAGAGAGAAACAGAGGAGGGAGAGAAAGAGAAAGAGGAAGGGAGGGAGAGGTGAAGAAGAGGAGAGAGACAGAGAGAACTCTAGGGCATTCTCTGTCAACCCCACCACAATCCAATTACTGATGAAAGCATGTCAGTCTTCTTCCATAACGTGGGGAAGATGTTTCAGATCTGTCTCTATTACCTCTTAGGGGACCCAAGAGGAAATCCCAACTCCAAAATATTTTCCAAATTAAAGTGTTCAAACAATCAGTTCTGTCAACAAATGCTTTTTCCTTTTCCTGAGTTAAGTGCTGGCACATTTTCAGAAGTGGAATTTCTAGTTGCATCTATAAAGCACCAAGCACCCCCAGGGGTAATAGGCCCTCACAGGGCCAGCCCATTTTTTTAAGATCATTTTCTCCAAAAAGTACTTGAAAGGCATTTTCCTGAATCTGGAGGTGAAAGGGGGCCCCCTGGAGCCATGATACCCACCCTCGTCTTCTAAGAAAGCGTACACAAAAGCTTATCCTGGAGATGGACTCACAAAACAAGATTTCTCTGTATGTTTATGGGTGGCTGCTCCCAAGTTGTACAAATCCCCCACCCACCAAATCCTTTCCTTCAACAAGGAAAATAGAGATCATCAAACCAAAAGTTCCCCAACTTCCCACCCTCTGGTTATGAAAAAATCTACACTGGTACCCATCTCTGCTTTGGAGAAAAACAAAATCTTTCCTGCTCCCTGAAGTATCCCCTCCACTTGTGTTCCTGATATTACATCCTATCTCCTTGTCCTACTTTCCCTTAGGCACCCAACATGCCCCCATCTGCCCGGACGCTAAACAAACCCTTCCTTCCATGCCACTTTTCCTTCAAGCAACTGACACCCTTCAACAAGGGCAGCCAAGGTGCTTTCCTCCCTCTCAGGCCTCAACCCCTAATGAACCTGGCTCCTGTCCCCAATGTTCTCCAATGGAACTGACCTTTAAAGGCCACCGTTGAACTTCTGATTATCAGGTACCATGTTTAACTTTGGAGCCCTGGTGGCACAGAGTTTAAGTGCTACGGCTGCTAACCAAAAGGTCGGCAGTTCAAATCCACCGGCTACTCCTTGGAAACCCTGTGGGGCAGTTCTGCTCTGCCCTATAGGGTCGCTATGAGTCGGAATCGATTCGACGGCAACGGGGCATTTCTTTATGTTTAAGTTCGGTTGTCATGGTATTTGACTTCTTCGGAGCTTCCGACATCGCTGGACACCCATCTTCCTGAAATCCTTCCTTTCCTTGATTTCAGGAGATTGTCCTTCTACCCACGAGGCCACTCCTTCTGTTTCTTCCAGTCCCCAGAGGCTGCTGCCCTGAGTTCCGTTCTTGGTCAGCCCTGCTGCCCTCTGAGAAAGCTTTCCTGAGGGTGACGTCCACACCTATAGTTTCCACCACGCAGGAGTCTAACTCCACTGCTTTATCCTGAACTTTTTCCCCAGCTGAGGACTCGCTCCCAAGTGCTTACTGAAAAACAAACAGAAAACCCAAACCCACTGCTGTTGAGTTGATTCTGACTCATGGTGACCCCAAGTGTTTTACAGGTTAGAACTGCTCCATAGGTTTTCCTTGGCTGTGATCTTTATAGAAGCAGATTGCCAAGCCTTTTGGTTAGCAGTCGAGCGCAAACCATTTGCACCACCCAGGGTCTCCTTACTGAACATCGCCTCCTGAACAGCCCTTGTTGTTGTTTGCTGCTGTCGATTCAACTCTGACTCACGGCCACCGCATATGTGCATGAGTCAGAATCACCTCAAAGGCAACAGGTTTGGTTTTTGGTTCAACTTATCTCCATGGGTTATCGATGCTTCAATGGTAGAATTCTTGCTTTCCATGAGGGAGACCTGGGTTCAATTCTTGGCCAATGCACTTCATGCACAGCCACCACCCACCCATCTGTCAGTGGAGGCTTGTGTGTTGCTTTGATGCTGAACAGATTTCAGAGCTTCCAGACTAAGATGAACTAGGAAGAAAGGCCTGGCAATCTACTTCTGAAAATCAGCCAGTGAAAATTCTATAGATCACAATAACCCAGTCCACAACAATCATGGGGATGGTGCAGGACCAGGCGGTGTTTTGTTCCTTTGTGCATGGGGTCACTGTGAGTTGGGAGCCAACTAGACAGTACCTAAAAACGACAGCAACCACTTATCTCCCAGATACTAATCATTTCCTTTCCAACTCATCTTTTGTTTCAGAAACATTCATCAAAATCACCTGGAAGAATTTTTAAAAATTATATGAAGCGATTCCATATGCATTATCTCATTTAATCCTCAAAATAACCTTTCAAGGTTGGTACACCTGGATGCTCTCATTTTATACTGCAATAACTTGCCTGAGGTCCCATAGCTAGTACTAGAAATGTCCCGATTAACAGCCACAGCCTTTATTCATTTTTAGTCATTCACATTCACAGATTGTTTCTTTTTATACTTCTATTCCCATAGCTCTTTACATATTGATTTAAATAAAGCTTCCTCCTTCTGCAAATGCTGCTGCTTGAATTTTACATTTGTACTTGCTATTAACAGCTCTTGCACTGTACATCAGGAAACACTGCTCATCAGATATGTTCATGTGATAATACTTCTGATCAAGACAAAACACCTTAAATAAATAAACTGCCTTGAGACTAGCAATATATGCAACACGGTAGTTAATTATTCTCTCTTTCTGTGGGCTTTAACCTGAATGATTGCACAGACACTCACAGATGTACACACACACGCTTGCACATACTCACACACGGACGCGCTCACACACAAGGTACTTGAACACACACTGACACACATGCACACGCTCACACGTGCACACACACAACGTACTTGAACACACTGACACACACATACACACACGTACACACACACTCTCACAATGCACATAATCGCACATGCACACACACTCAAACACATACACTGGCACACACATGTACACACACTTGCTCACTCTCACACATGCACACATTCACACACATTTGCACAGATGCACACAAACTTGCACACCCATACACACACACATACATTTTCACAAACACACAGGCACAATCACACATGCACACACACGTGAACACACAGCACACACTCACACATGCACACACACATGTACACACATACACACACGTACACATTCACATGCATGCACACTCACATGTACACATACGTCCACACACACTCACACTTGCACACACACATGCATGTACACTTACACGTGCACACTTTCACACACACACATGCACATATCACACGTGCGCACACACACAGGCACACACACACATACACTCACACACACACTCTACCTTTCACCCCCTCAAACATTACAGCCGTGTTCACTCTACGTTACTTAGATTTCCTTTTCCATCGTCTTCACTTGCAAAAATGTCTATTTTCAAACACACTCCTAGGGCGTCATCTAATGAGACACAACAGGGAATCACAGGCTTTTTAAAAAGTGCAGCTGTAAAATCTGTGGAATAAATTTGAATGCGTTTGCTTGCTGTGTGGACAGTTTTTTCTTTTAACGAATACTTTTAAACTTTTTTTATAAGTATAGTACCAATGTAGATAATTGCACAAAGAAAATGTATAGCCTAGTGAAATATTATCCAAACACCCGTGCAGCCACCACCCCATTCAAGAAACAGAATGTTATCAGCCCCCTAGAGCCCTTCTACCCACACTGTCCCACTCCCAGCCCCCCCTCCACTCTGGAAGTCACCCCCACCCAGCGGCGGATTAACCAGTAAGCATGGTATGCACCAGCTTGCCGTGAGCAAGCTTAGAACTGGGCTGCTAACCAAAAGATCGGCAGTTTGAATCCACCAAGCGCTTCTTGGAAACCCTGTGGGGCAGTTCTACTCTGGCCTATAGGGTCACTATGAGTTGGAATCGACTAGAGGGCAATGGGTTTGGTTTGGTTTTTTTGTTTACTAACCTGTAGTGTACAATTTCACCTGGGTTGAAAGTTGTGGGGAAAGCTAGATGAAATTGTGATAAACACAATTAAACCCGTGTGTACCTTGCTTTTTGGGTAATCCATCGCTGCCCCCACGTGATTTTATCATAATTACTTTCTTGCTTCCCTTTATAATTTTGTCAATCACGTGTGCATCTCCAAACACTGTAGTTTCCTTTTGTCCATTTTTATATGTTTTTAAAGTTTCTACTACTCTGTATAAACCAAACCAAACCCATTGCCATGGAGTCGATTCCAACTCACAGCAACCCTATAGGACAGAGTAGAGCCGCTGCATAGGGTTTCCAAGTAGTAGCTGGTGGATTCGAACTGCCGACCTTTTGGTTAGCAGTCGAGCTCTTAACCACCATGGCACCAGGGTTCCTGACTCTATATACCTCTTTATTCCCTTTTCTTCTCTCTGCAATTTATTTGTTGAAGGCCCCTGCTTGTTTGGCATGTTGAGCCCCCATCGGGATTGTCCTGGAAGCACCCCTGGGGTGTGGTTTAATACATCCTTCTGTCCTTTGTGTGGCCTTTAAATGGGTAGTTGGACACATACTCTCCCAAAGCTGTTAGGTAACAGCTGACCAGCAGCCAGCAGTGGGAAAAACTGCCCAAAAGGTCCACGTTTCAGGGGTGGGGGGTGGTGAGAAGTCAGTGAACTAGTGTGTTCTCTCTTTTGGAGAGCTGGAGTATGAACCATACAGAGAGAATGTCTAATCATTTGTGGATGAGAATGAACAAGCAATGATAAAAGAAGTCAAGACGGAGCGTTTGAGTCACAAGTAGCTGGTATGTCCTGAGCTGTCCCATGGCACCCTTACCACAAACCCTTATCAAAAATAATTCTCCTTTGTCTCTCCATGCCAAACGAGAATTAGCATGATAATAAAAAACATGAAGAATGATCCATTCAATTGCCAAAGTGGTATTTTGTGACGTTTTACTTTTAAGAACTGTCTACGAGGATCCTTCTCTAAGAGATAAAACGCTTTTCTTAGAGTGATGATGCTTACTTTTGAAAGCCCTCTATTCCATATACAGAATAACAAAACAATTGGAAAACCACACACTTCCTATAAGTCATCTAGTTAATCAAGAGGGATTTGTCACGTGCTCGGAAACTGGTTAGTGACAACCTGGAGCATTTCACAAAGAGCCCTTCTCTGATCAGGGAGTCCTTTCGGTGTTACTTTTGTGGAAACGTATGTTGTGCTGAGAGGAAAGGACAGAATATCTCTCCTAGGATGCTGCCCTCTGACTTTTTTTCCTTTCAGGAAACAAGTGGGTTCTTTGAGTTGTGGGATCTTCTTTTGTATTTCGTGTGCTGTTGTGTCTGTAGTAGTGAATCTTCCCATTGTGTTACCATTTTCCTAGTTGTTTGATGGTGTGTGTCTTAGTCCGATAGGACTGCAGCAGCAAAATACTACAAAATGGGTGGCTTTAAAGAACAGAAGTTTCTTGTCTCTCAGTTCTGTAGGCTGGGAGTCTGAATCCAGGGCATCAGCAGAGATACGCTCTCTCTCTCTCCCTCTCTTGGCTCTGTGGGAAGATCCTTCCTGTCTCTTCCAGCTTCTATAGCCCTGGGCATTTCTTGGCATTCCTTGGCTTGTAGACAGATCCTCACATGCGTCTTCCCCTGTGTATGACTGTTTCCCTGTTTGTCCTTCCCTTTTATAAGACGCCAATCAGAAGCTGTCATGGATTGAATTGTGTTCCCCCCAAAACGCATATCTACTTGGCTAGGCCGTAATTCCCAGTATTATGCGGTTGTCCACCATTTTGTGATCTGATGTGATCTCCCTATGTATTGTAAATCCTAACCTCTATGATGTTAAAGAGGTGGGATTAGCAGCAGTTATGTTAATGAGGCAGGACTCAATCTACAAGATTAGGTTATATCTTGAGTCAATCTCTTTTGAGATACGAAAGAGAGAAGCAAGCAGAGAGGATGGGGACCTCCTACCATCAAGAAAGACGAGTCAGGAGAGGAGCATGTCTTTGGACCCAGGGTCCCTGTGACGAGAAGCTCCTAGACCAGGGGAAGACTGATGACAAGGACCTTCCCTCACAACTGAGAGAGACAGAAAGCCTTCCCCTAGAGGTAGCACCCTGAATTTGGACTTCTAGCCTCCTAAACTGTAAGAGAATAAATTTCTGTTTGTTAAAGCCATCCACTTGGGGTATTACTGTTATAGCAGCACTGGATAACTATAACAGAAGGGATTAGGATTAGGCCTCACTTTACTCCAGTCTGATTTCTTTAACTGCTAACATCTGCAGAGAAAAACCCTATTTCCCCAAACAAGGTCAGGAAGTTAGAACTTCAGCATGTCCTTTGGAGGACACAATTCAAACCCGACAGTGTGTCTGAGCTCACAGCCATGCAGGGACGGAGCCCGCTCTGCTCTATTCTCCTCTTGCATTCTGCACTGCTTGCTCTCCCTGTGCTCTGGGCCCCTGCCCACTCTCCAGAACTTTCTGTCTTCTGCGTCCCCCTCATGGAGCTGGCACGTAGCATCTTCACATTGTACTTCACCAGGAAAGGACTGTGATGTGGAATTTAGAAGAGAAACCTGAGTGCAGGGAGGTCATCGGCTCCTTGCCTGGCACTGGCGGGCATTTTCAAAGCAGCCGGTGTAAAGGCTCCAAGTGCCCCACAATGATCATCAGTGGAATTCAGCTTTCCAAAAAAAAAATAGGGCTTCATGAGCACAGGATTCTATTCCCTTTATTGGAAAGCGGTGAGGTGAGTTGTCGAACTGCGGCTCGTTCTTTAATTTCACGTATTTCAAGGAGCAAAGAACAGGCTCTGGACGTCAGCGCGATTGTACTTCTGACGTCCGTATTTCTAAACCTCGGGATTTAGATCTAATCTTGAAAGCCATCCGGACTTTAGCCAGGGTGTCTGCCCTCGGTTAAAACACAATGTGGAGTTTCTAAAATAATTGTGTAGCTATGACCATTTTTTTTTTCTTCATAAAGTGTTTTCTACGTGAAGAGCCTCCTTTTGAAGTGAGAAGCCGTGAAGACGGCCGGGGCAAAGGTGAAAAGTGTGCCGCAGAAGTTGACATTCCAGGCAGAGGCTGGGTCGCAGGCCTCAGGAATGAGTCTCTTGCTATTCAGTGCCTCGACCCGCTAACAATAACTGCGGCCCTGGGGTCACCTCTGCTGCACGTCCCCCTTACGTGGCAGCGGAGGGGACAAGCCTTATCAGTTTCCATTTGCTTTGGTGAGAGAATCAGTGGGACTTTGGCCATGTGGTCGCCAGTTGCTCTTGTGGTGGGAACGGGGTGGGGATGGGGCAGTTGGCGAAGGAATTCCTCTTCATACCCTATCCAGAATGGCAAGCGATCTTAAAATAATCCACCCGGAGATTTGCAACAGGACGGGGATTTTTTTCAAAACCCCATGCCAGAAGGGAAAGGAGAAAATTAATAGTGTATCCTGAAGCTGGGTTTTTAAAGGGCAAAGAGAGAGTAAGGCAACACCCTGCTGTTGCTATTTCTTTCTTTGTGTATTAAAAAAAAAAAAAAAAATTGCCTCTCCTGACTTTGAAAGTAGCTAGTGCTTTTTTTAAAGGGGGAAAAAAGAAATCAAAGCCCTACTAACCATTTCTTTTTGACAATGGAGAGCACTTTCTCCCGTGGTGCTCCACTCGTTCGGAATACAGTTCTACCAGCCCCTAAGAACGCACACCAAGCACAGGCTATTTTTATTGCAGAGAACTTCGGTTGCCTCACAATGGAGGGCTGAGGGTGTGCATCTGGGGGGAGGGGAGGGAAGAGAAGGCTGTCTCCTATTTATTCCAGCGGTGGAGGGCTCCTCCCTTGTAGGCCCATCACGACCTCAGTGAGAGTCCCGCTTTTGGAGTCTTACCTGAGACCTGCCCAGGCTGAGTAAGCCTTGTTCTTCCATCATCTCAACAGACAAAAGGCAAAAGCTAGAAAGGACCCTAGCGGCCCACACAGGTCATCCCCAAAGCAGGCCAATATGAGAGCCTTTGGTGGAAGCAGTTCTTGTCCATTTCTTCATGACGTCAGTCACTTTACTCACTATCTGCTGTTGTTGGGCGCCACTGAGTCGATTCCAACTCATAGCGACCCTACAGAAGAGAGGAGAACTGCCCCATAGGGTTTCCTAGGCTGTCATCGCTACAGGAGCAGATCACCAGGTCTTTTTTCCGTGGAGCTGTTGGGTGGGTTCAAACCACCCACCTTTCGGTTAGCAGCTGAGCGCTTAGCCATTGCACCACCAGGGCTCCTCACTGGCCAGCTACCAAAAAACCAAAAATCAAACTTGTTGCCGTTGAGTCAATTCCAACTCATAGTGACCCTATAGGACAGAATAGAACTCACCCATAGAGTTTCCAAGGAGCGCCTGGTGGATTTGAACTGCCGACCATTAGTTTAGTAGCCGTGGCTCTTAACCACTGTGACACCAGGGTTTCCACTGACTATACAGTACACCATTAATACAGTCCTTATTTGAGTCTCACCCTCATTGTATACAAAGGTTAAGTGTTCAAAGGAAAAGAGTTCCTTTGTATCTAAATGTCCTTTATCAGAATCAGGGCCCTATTTTTCTTATTCTTTACCAGTTGCCATCAAGTCAGCTCAGACTCATGGCAACCCTATGTGTGTCAGAGTAGGACTGTGCCCCATAAAGTTTTCATTGAACTGAATTTCAGAAGTAGATTCCCAGGCATTCCTTCCTCGTCTGTAAGCTCCACTGAAACCTGTCCACCATGGGTGGCTCTGCTTGTATTTGAAATACCAGTGGCATAGTTTCCAACATCACAGCCACACACAAGCCACCAAAGAACAACAGACTTGATGGATGGGTGGTGGAAAATCCAACCAGGCACTGAGATTATTAGTTCATTGAACAGATTTAGTTGAAATGGCTACAGTGATTTTGGAGATGAGGAAAGAGCTATACACACACACACACATACACCCACACACATGCATGCACACACACGTACACCCACACACATGCCTGCACACACACGTACACACCCACCCACACACATGCACACACACACACATGTACACCCACACACACACATGCACACATACACAGGTACACACACACACACACACATGCATACACACACATACACACACGTACACATGCATGCACACACATATGTAAGACCACACCCACACACATGCATGCACACATGTACAAGCACACCCACACACATGCATGCACACACATATGTACACCCACACACGTATGCACACACATACATACACGCATACCCACACACATGTATGCACATCCACACCCACACATATGCATACACACACATACACACACACATGCATGCACACACGTACACACACCCACACACATGCATGTACACACCCACAAACATACATACACACATGTACACACATGCATGCACACACATACATGTGCACACACATGCACAGACATCCACCCACACCCACACACATGCATGCACACCCAAGTACATGCACACCCACACATGCATGCACACACATGCATGCACACCCACACACATGTGCACACACACATACACACATACACACCCACGTTCACATGCATGCACACATGTACACACCCACCCACACTCCTATCCTTGACCATCGCCCTTTCCCAGTACAATGCTCCAAGTCTCTTGCTTGTCTCATGCTCTTCTGTGGAGTGCAGCAGCCTGGGGAGAGTTTTAAGGAGCTGTGGTATTTAACAGGCAAATTATTTCCTTTTGTTCCTGATTTGTTTGTAAGGCTAATACCACTGACCCTCTGATCTGGTTGCAAGCAAATCAAATGTGGCTCTGCTTGGAGGCTGGCCGATGGACAGCATGGCCTCTGGAAGGACCCTCTTGGATGAGTCTATATTTTTGAAGTAAAAAAAACTGAAGTAGAGCCAACATTTCTGAAGAGCAGTCTAATAAAGTATTAAGTAAAGGAAAGTCCTTCAGGTGACCCACCACCCTTTCCTTATCAGCCAACCTATTTTATTTTTTTCCATTCTGGACAGAAGATAAATAAAGGATTTGTTCTTCTTCCTCATGCTAGGATTTATAAAAACATCATTTAGAAACCAATACAGCCGTTTCGTTTGCCAGGCAGCCCACCGTGAGCTCTGAGGGAACATGTCTTAGGCTGGGTTCTCTAGAGAAGCAAAACCAGTGAAGCATGTATATATACACTGTTGTTGATAGGTGCCGTCCAGTCAGCTCCAACTCATAGTGACCCATGTACAACAGAACAAAACACTGCCCGGTCCTGCGCCATCCTCACAATCATTGTTATGTTTGAGCCCATTGTTGCAGCCACTGTGTCAATCCGTCTCATTGAGGGTCTTCCTCTTTTTCGCTGACCCTCTACTTCACCAAGCATGATGTCCTTCTCCAGGGACTGGTCCCTCCTGATAACATGTCCAAAGTGCGTGAGATGAAGTCTCACCATCCTTGCCTCTAAGAAGCATTCTGGCTGTACTTTTTCCAAGACAGATTTGTTCATTCTTCTGGTAGTCCATGGTATATTCAATATTCTTTGCCAAACCATAATTCAAAGGCATCGATTCTTCTTTATTCTTCCTTATTCATATATATGTATATATATATAAAGATTTATCCCAACAAAATGGCTCACGTGGTTGTAGAGGCTGGCAAGTCCCAAGTCCGTGGGTCAGGCTGGAGGCTTCTTCTAACTCACATAGCTGCAGGGGCTAACAGACCCAAGATTGGCAGGTCAGAAAGCAGGCTGCTGGCTCAAGTCCCAAGAACTGGAGTTCAGATGATGATGAGCTGAATGCAGGATCCAGAGCAGAGCAAAAGTCAGAAAGCTTTGCCAGAGAGTCCACCTATATTGGATGCAGGCCACACCCCAAAGGAAAGTCCCTTACAACTGATTGGCTGCTCATAGTAGACCTCAGCACGGAGGTGATGACATTATATCAGATCTCATCGTGGAGGTGATGACATCATTACATAACTGCCAAACCATTGCGAATCATGGCCCAGCCCAGCTGACACAACCTCAACCATCACAGAAGGGCGACATCCACCGTCTTGGTTGTGTTGTGTCGCTGGCCTACTCCCAGAATTTATCCTGCATTTTCTTTTTAATTTTCCTCGTTGAAAAGACTGAGTAAACTGTGGCTCAGATGGTGCGGCTGACACCCCAACCACGTGGTTGTATTTCTCCCCTCTCCGCTGTGTCTTTGATTGTGTTTTGAGGACTGTCTGGTGCGCTCCACTGCCTTTGTTCCACTGAAGTTATTTTCCTCCTTGGGAAATGAAAGATAACAGTACCACCAAGGGAATGGGGAGACACCAACAAGTTATCAACCTTTAAGAAGCCATTCATCCTCCGGCCAAAGTATGGCAACAAACTGAAAGCATTATGACAGGTTTTAAGGAGCGAAGGAAGTGAGGACGCAGATACACCATATTGGTGTATGTAATTCAACTTGGAGGGGGGGTTCAGCTATCTGAGAAGGGCAGAGGGCAGTACAGCCACTGTTGTGGCCCATACCAGTTTTCACCGGCTAAGTTTTGGAAGTAAATCTCCAGGCCTTTCTTCCTAGTCTGTCTCAGTCTGGAAGCTCCGCTGAAACCTGTCCACCATGGGTGACCCTGCTGGTACGTGAAACGCTGGTGGCACAGCTTCCTGCATCACAGCAACATGCAGCCACCACAGTACAACAGACGGACGGACAGGTGTAAAGCAGAGGGCCAGCGAAAAAGAAGGAAACCTCAGTGAGATGGACGGACACAGCAGCCTCAACAATGGACTCAAACGGTCTGACAATCATGAAGATGGCGCAGCACGCGGCTACGATTCGCTCTGCTTTACGTAAGGTCGCCCTGAGTCAGAGATGACTCCGCGGCAACTGACAACGACAAGTGAGAGCACTAGGGGGCTTCGTTCGGGTGGCTTCTGGCTTTTCTGGGGGCCGTGAAGCTTCTGCGTTTTCCCTCTAGAATGCATGACATTAGCTTGACGAAGCAGGATGTTGGTATCAGAGAAGAGCCAAAGCGTCTCCTTCTGGTGGGACAAAAAGTTGGGATGCTTTGCTGAGCAGGCGGCCAGAAGAATTTAATTTTAAATCCAAATATTCCTTCAGTGTTAAGTAATATAAAGGATCTTTCACGCCAAAGACTCTCATTTGAACTTGACAACTTTGGCTGCAAAATAATTGCCTGTAAGAACCATCTAACAAATCAAAGGAACTCCTAAAACTCCAGGGGAAAAAACTTCCAGGCAGATGGTATTGCTTCCAAAGGACAATTGTTTTTAGCATCGTACCCTTTTCTATTTTAGAGAACTTGTTGGGAAAGAGCAAGAAAACATCAAGAAACGCTGTGATCAGTTAGAGTGCTCAGTGATGGACACCTTGGTAGTGAGTTTGGGTTCACGATATGCAAAGCAAACTCACTTCCTTGGGTCATTCCACCCGTCCTGATTTTGAAACCATTTCCAGCGTAATATTTGCATGTGTTCTTGCTGCACGGAAATCCGCTTGTCCTTTTCCTCTGCTGATTGTGCCACAGGCACTGTTAGAATTAGAGCGCTGATAAGAAAGGAAAAAAAAACTGGGCCAGGATTTAAATTAATGCTTTTAGACAAATATCCGTTCCATCTCCAATTCTAATGCTAATTACATTGATGGATCAAAGACCATTCGTTAAAGTTTTGCTTTTGAAAAAAGGGAGATTTTACTTTCTCTTTTGAATTTTTTTTTTTTTTTTTTTTTTATGGTACTTGACAGGGGAGATGAGAATCTGGGGAAGGAAGCCCCATCCAGGCAGGACTTGTAGGGGACCCGTGTTCCTGAAATCCCTTTGGAGGGCCAGGCTCTGAGGATCTAAGGCTCTTCCCTCACCTCTCTTTGTTCCCCTTTGGACTGGGCAGCCTGAGATGGCCCTGTCACGGCTGCCTGGACTCTCTTGATGCCATGAGCAGGACAAATAATGTGGGGTACCTTCTACGCGTAAACCACCACCCATCTGTCAGTTTGTCGTACTGTGGTGGCTTGCATGTTGCTGTGATGCTGGAAGTATGTTACTGGTATTTCAAATACCATCAGGGTCACCCATCGTGGTCAGGTTTCAGCAGAGCTTCCAAACTAAGATAGACTAGAAAGAAAGGCCTGGAAATCTCCTGAAAAATCAACCATTTAAAACTCTATGAGCACAGCTGTACCTTGACACACATGGAACCACCATGAGTCACCATCCACTTAACAGCAACTGGTAAAATGGTCTCCTTATTTCTGCCCTTGGCCTATTTTCTAATCTGTTCTCCAAGCAGCTGTTTATAACCCTTCATTGGTTTATCATGGGTCCAAGAATAAAATCCCAAACCCTTATGGTGCCTACAAGGCCCTGCAGGATCTGCCCCTGACCTACTGCCAACCTCACCTCACCCCTCCTCACCTCATGTCTTCTCATCCCATCCCACTTCACCCCATCTCATCTCATCCCATCCCACCTCAAATTACCTCACCCCACCTCCCCCCCCTCACCTCATGTCATCTCACCCCACCCCACCTCATCTCACCTCATCTCACCTCACCTTGTCTCATCTCATCCCATTTCCCTTCCATCAGCCTGGCCAGCTCCCAGTTCCTTTAACACATGCCCTTTCCAAGGCAGGGCAATTGAGCTTGCTCTTCCCTCCTGGAATGTTCTTTTCAGGGTTGCTTTAACTCTGACTTCTCAGAGAGGCCTCCCAGGACCACTCGAAAAAACAGGCCACCCTGCTCTTCCCTGTCACAATACTGGGTTTATTTCCTTTATAACATACATCGACATTCTTTACTATCTTGTTTACTCTCTCCCTCGCTGGGAGGGTGTGCCTGGAGGACACGGGCTAGTGTGGGCTCTCTTGTTTTTTATCAGCCCTGAGCACACAGTTCGTGACTGTGTCTGTGGAACAATGTATGCGATACACGAATTCCCTTTCCATCCACATCTCTGCGTACACCCTTATTGCATCTTATGCTCATATAGCATGTTGCAACCACAAGTCATTCAACAATATTAATCCAACAAATATTCATTGAAGTCTCGTATCAGGTGCTGCTGGGGATCATGGCTTTAATGATGAAACAAGCCTTGCCCTCTGCCCCAAGTCTGGTTGGGAAAATAGATACACACGGGGATAAACTTAATACCCTGTGGTCGTACCACGACTGGTAAATGTTCACATGTGTACCAAGTCTGGTTGGGAAAACAGACACACACGGGGATAAACTTAATACCCGTGGTCCCACCACGACT